TGGTGATGGGAAACCCACGGGGATTACAACTGAGATGAAAAACAAAATGTACAAAATGATGTAAAAATAACTACTGTATTATATATAAAAAAATGTTCAAGAAACTTAATGGTCTAGATGATTTCTAAAAATACAGTAAGTAGAAATCAGTATGACTTAGAAAACTATTAGACATGCAAAAATCTCAGAACCCACCCCCCAAGTATAAAGAATCAAATTTTGGTGGTAAGGCTCAACAACCTGGCCTTAAAAATCTCCTGAATGATCCTTTGAGATGCTACTTGGATAAAGGAACCTATCAAGAGAATAAAGGTTAAGTTCTTACGTACTAAGGACTGAAATAATGCTATTAGCTGCGGTACTTAAGATGGCTAGTGGCCTTTGGAAGGTTGGGTAGAGTTTACTCTGATGCCTATTAAGTTTTGTTTTTTTTTAATTTACTTATTTATGCACAAAGAACTGGGGTATAGGCCTGAGGTGTGGGGGTGGTGAGAGGCTTTACCCGAGATAGAGTGGAGAACAGAACAGGCAGATCGATGAAGTACACTGCCGAGGGGAGCAGCGGGCAGGTCAGGAGAGGTCTGCCACATCATGTGTATCACCTCCAGGGTGGGGGTCAAACTCATGCAGAAGTAGCTTCAACTTCTTAGTGCTATGCTTTAACCTGCTGGGCCACCAGGCAGAGTCCTGATGCCTATTAAGTTTTAAGGAACACTGCCAGAGAGAATGCTTTGTCCTACTCTAGATCAAATAACTTAAATTTTAAGACATAAATTTCTTAATAAAGCCACCGTAACTTAGCACTTATTCAAATACAGTGCTTTCCATAATTAAAACTTCACAGATTCAAATTCTGACTTTATTGGGTAGTCACTTTACCTTTCTAAGTCCATTCCCTCATCTATATTAACCAATGTAACAAAAGTTTTATGTAGTACAACAAAGGGAGTTTTAACCAAAGCACACACAAAGTACTAGCTACTCTTTGAAAATTAGGCTGTCATAAATGAGGCTATAAATTAAAATTGTCTAAAAAAATCTACTAATGCTAACTGCTGTTGTAATCATTACTGAATTAGACAATATGATAAAATAATTATGTAAAAAGTTCAATGCTTCATAACAGTCTCCGTTATAGACAAAATAAAAGTGATTCCTAATGGTGAAAATGAGCTACATGCCTATATAAAGGATTAGTAATTTTAGCTTGTTGTATATGGCACATAAGAATTGTGGCCCATGCCTCAATTTTAATACAATATTCTCTACTTTACCAGTGCTCGAATATGAAATTATCTGTATTCTATTAATGTCTCCCTAAACTAAAATGGCTGTTATCATTAAGTGAACTCATAATTAATTATGGGATTTTATATATATATATATATATATATATATAGCTGGATCCTGTTAGAAAGCCTGTCATGATCTGGATAGGTATCTCAGAATTGTTTGTCATTGTTTAAGCTCATTAACCATGTTATAAACTTGAATTAGAAAAGAGTTGAATTACCTGAAAAGATTCTCTATTTTTGCGTTGTCGTCTTCTTTCTCTCAGCAAACTCTTTTGTTTTTCCTCCTCTTCTTCCTTTTCTAAAGCCCGAATGTGTTCTTCAAAGCAAATTAATGCATCTTCTTTATCCATGTCTAAAGTGTTTAGTAAGAAAAATTAAAATATCAAATATCAGTAGGGAAAGCACTTTGAGTATTGCATTAACTCCCTAAACATTTAAAATTAACCTTTTCAAAATATTTTAACTCAAACATGACATGTAATATCGACGCAAACATTGAAGCAAAATTCCCCAAGGATGAAACTAATATTATCCTGACAATTATGTTTAAACAAAGACCATGTGTATGACATAATAACTTAAAAAAAACCCAGCAATTTCAGAATATCAAATTAACCCTCTAAGTACAGAATTCAATGTTCTATCCTAAATGACCTAGTAAACAAGGTATTCAAAGGGGCAATCAAAAGAGCTGTAATAAAAAAAAAAAAAATCTGCGTAGATCAAAAAACATCTTGGGCAAGTGCGATATAAGATTAATATAGTTTTTGCAAATATCTAAGGCTATTACCTCAAGATAGCATGTGTAAAAAAGAGATAATCTGGTTCTTACCAAGGTACATATAAATGCCAAAGCACAACTTTAACTTTTAACTATAATTAACACAGTTCAAGGATTATCTAATAAAAGTAATTCAATAAATTTTGTCCTGAACCACAAAACTGTATTAGAAAGAGTAATACTATTTGTAAAGAATACATTTTTTTCAGAAATGGAAAATTCAGTGAGTGACAGGTTAAAAAAAATATGAACTCTCTCCCCAGGACAATTTTTAAAAACACTTCCCCCTCCGTTTAGCCACTATTCTTACTCTGTAACTCTTCATCTTCGGCAAAAGTTGGATTATCCATCAAATACTGCTGGGCTTCAGACCAAGTAGTAGAGTAAGTTACATTAGCCATGTTGTCAAGTATATTCTTTAAGGCTTCCCAATTTCTCTTTCGCAGCTGCTTTGCTTGTTCCTAAAACAAAAATATGAATACAATTTTGAAGAAAAATAATATACTTAAATTGCATTAGTGAAGATTTCTTTACATTCTGATGATGAATTTCAAGTGTTATCCGTTTACTTAAAACATCAACACTTTTATGTTTGATACCTAACAGCATATACCTAACAGCTTGGTTTAGTACTTACCTTCACCTCTATTCTAAAGGCAGAATTAGGAAACCATGCTTTTGCTCCTACTCCATAAATCACTCTACCTACTATTATGCATTACAGAAATGATCTTAAAATTAATGGTACTGTGGACAAATCACACAATGTATAAATGCTAATAAGTTCAACCACTTTGAACTATATTCAAATTTTGTTTATAACCCTTGCATTTCTGTGTCTTGAAATTGTATAAACTTGACCTAATTAAAAAAAGATATTAAAAAACAGAAATGTTTTAAAACTCACGAAGCAGTAAAGTTTCATGGAAACAACTACTTAACACTATCATTCTTTGGCTGGAGACTGAACTTGCACTGAAGCGGCTGCAGCTAGTTCCGCTTAGTGCAGCATTTTATCCCCTTTTGCCACCAGGGAGGGCCCCTGACCAGTTTTGAAGTCTCAGGAGCTTAGGACTAAATAAAAATTTTAATAAATTTGCATCACATAAACTACATGAAGTAACTAATAAACATGTGCATTTTATTAATTCCTAACAGAATTAACATGAATACCAAAACTAAGAATGAATACCTTTTCTTTTTTTGAAAGAAAGAATAAGACATCTTCATAGATTTCAAGACGGTCACGTTCTGATATTGCATTCCAGACTTCCATTTCTCCAAACATTTGCTCTGCTTTTCTGTTAAAAGAGATAAATTTTATACTTTAATACAAATTAATTTTAAACTATCATACCAAGTTTAAAACAACAAAAGAAGGCCCTTCCTAGTGGCGTTAAAGCATAGCACTGCGCTTAAGCCACTTCCGCATGAGTTCGATCCCCACCTGTCCCCGGAGGTGACCACATGGCGTGGCAGACCTCTCCTGACCCGCCTGCTGCTCCCCTCAGCAGTATACTTCGTTGATCTGCCTATTCTGCTCCCTGCTCTGTCCCTGGTGAATCCTCTCACCCTCCGCATCTCTGGCCTGTACCCCAGTTCTATACGAATAAATAAATCTTTTAAAAACAACAACAACAAAAGGAGCACTTTCTTCCACTCTGAAGTCCATAACTATATGATAAAGGATAACTGAATAAGAACAAAGCAGGCTAGGCATCTCATTTCTCCTCACAGAATAAGGGATAATCCTCATTGAGCATTGTTTCCGTAGTCAGAACAATCTCTATTTTTAGGGTAGCTATAGAGACTGTTAAAATGTCTATAGAACTAAATCACAAACTTCAAAAACTCAAATTTAGTTTGTGTGCAAAGTAGGACAACTGAAGAAATAGGCTAAACTCTTAGTGAAGAGTTTTTCACTGAGGCTTTATTGAATGAGGAAAACAGGGAAGTGTACAAGAAAAATAACAAAAGTGTATTTACAAAATTTAAATGAATCACCCACAATTTTACAAAAAGTGCTCTAAAATGAATGTTATGAATGCAAGTTTTCAAAATATCAGTCTTAATGAAAAGAACCTACTTCAGAAATACCAAAATTTATAGTCCTCATGTTGAGTAGAAAGGAATAAAGTTTTTATTATTAAATTTGATCTCTCTTTTTAATTTCTAGTAACTTGGCAAGTCTATAAGCTGAATTTCAGACTTAATTAGTGATTTATATCTCATGAAACTGCCAAATTAAACATCACCTAGTTTTATTTAACGAACATCTACTTTGGATTAGTTACAACACTTGGCAAAATATCTAAATCCGAAAAAGTACAGTAAACACATACCATCCATCATTAAAAATCTTACTTGTATCTAGTTGTGGAAGTCATTTTTTCATGATTTTCAAGGAAACGCTGAAAGGATTCTTTAGCTTCTTTGTATTTTGATCTTGCTTCTTCTTTTTCTTCTTTTTCTGTCTGGACTTTATAGGCATTAAAGGCCTGCTTTTTTTCACTCAACTTCGCTAAAGCACTAAATATTAAAAAATATCAGGTAAGTCTAAGTGAAGACAGGATAAGCAAATGTCAGTCCTTTGAAATATAGTTGACTTAATTCATGAATTCAGAAAATTTTTAGTAAGTTATGAAAGAGATGGTTGTAGAAAATTTCTACTTGGGCCCTCCCTATGGTACAAGGTGTTAAAGCACAGCACTAGTTAGCAATCTGCAGCCATGCAAACCAAGTTCGATCCCCAGCCAGGGAGGTGACCCACATGGTATGGTGGACCTATCCTGCCCTACCCACAGTGCGCCTCAGCAGTGTATTTCAGTTGATCTGCCTGTTTTGCTTTCCACTCTGTATCTGGTAAATCCTCTCATCCCCTGCACTTCTGGCCTGTACCCCAGTTGTTGCATGCACTAATAAATCGTTTAAATTTTTTCTTCTACTTTAAAATAATTTTAATTTCATTGGTAGCAGTATGCCCAAATTACATGATAAACCTTTACTTTTCTTTCATATCAGACATAAACACCACCATCCTTGTAATTTGCTAGCCTTGCTAAAATCAAAGTGTAAAGCAAAGTAAAAAGATCAAATTATTACCTGTATCGTGGATCATTAATGATCATTTTCATTGCCTGTTCCCATGAAGCATTGGATGGAACCCGCTGAAAACCATTTAATGAAAAGTTAAAACTTCAAACACATTTAGTAGAGATCATTTAATAGGAAACAAAGAGTATTCATTGCAAACATTAAGCTCTTTTTTTGCAGAAGTTTGAAATAATAATTTATTGAAGCAAAGAAAATCTGGAAAACACACTTAAAGACAGTTTCTGGTTGAAAGTCATTATCACAAAATGTTCTTAGAAAAAAATGCAAGACAAATTCAGCTTTACTTTCAGCAAGTTTCTGGATATGTTTTCAACAGAAATCAGGAATTGACAGTAATTAAAGAGTAACTTCATTTATTATTACATGTTATATAAATAATCTGTAATGAAAAATACCTTTTCTTTCAATAATTCTTTAAATGCTTGCTTTGCCTCCTCCTTTGTATTCCAAGTGTATGTTTTTTTGGCTGGCTGGCTTTCTTCCTCTTCTTTTTTGGGAGTAAAACTTGAGAATTGAAATATTACTTGTTACTCAAATAAACATGTTTCATTTAGAAAAATGTAGTAATTATTTAAATGTCTGATCTTACTATAATTTGACAAATTTATAATTGAGTCTCCTAATCAGGCCTGACTGTAAGTAGCCCTAAATTAAAGGTACAGTTTTTCAACTAGTAAATATGACACTATTTTCCCCAGTGTACAACTTAATCCTTTAAAATAGCTTATAAGACTTTCAGTGTCTTCATTTTGGTATCTTAACAACTGAGAATCTGGGTAAAGCATGCAGACACATAAAGATGATGACATCAATCCAAATCAATGAAATTGATTCAGCAAATTATAACGCACATGCCAAATCCAACCAAGGTACATGGTTCTGAAGATATTGCTTTACTGGAACACAGCTAGATACACTGTTTATGGCTTAACTGCAGAGCTGAGTCACTGTGACAATTTAACCCACAAAGTGAAGGTATATATACTTCATTAATTCAAGAGAAAACTTGACGAACATGATTTCAAATAAAAAGAATTAACATATCCAAGAATTCTGAACTGTACTTGTTTATTAGCCCTTTATGATGAAATTATATATGAAATTATATAATCATATTTCCTCCTAAATAAAAATATATAAAGAGAATGCAGAAAAAACAAACCCAAAAGTATTTTAAAGTTAAACACTTAAGTAGATACTTTCTATCTAGTGGAGTAGTAACTTCCACAGTTACCTATTTATTCAACACCAAAGTCCCTTACAGTGCTAGGCCACATTTGAAAGTGAGGCAAATGCAGAATAATCACTAATATTGTTCCTTTCTCTAACAAAAAAAAATTTGGTATTCATCATGGATGTTCCAAAATTGATTTTGATCCAAAATACTACATAGTGTGACAGATCTTGGTTACTAAGGTTTTTGGTACCCCTTTAAATCTGTGTCACTCTACCCCGAAATCTGTTTCCTAAAACTTCTGTTAATTAGTTTTGTGGCACATTTTGATAGCATGACTACACAAAACTCTGATTAGAAAACATTATCTATATCATGTACATAATCTACCAGCTATGTTTCAATTTTCCAGAATATCTAAAACAATAAACAGTGACTAAACTGGCAATTTGTTGTGTTTATGAAATTTGCTATGGAGTTAGGGAGGACAAGCTATAAAACTTACTCTGCTACTGTTTCCTGCTTAGATGTTTCTTCTCCAGTGTTACTGGATACTTCACTTTGATCCTGAACAGCAGGAGTACTAGTAAGTTGTGCTTGCTCTTCAGTTGAAATTGTTACTGTATTTTCATTATCTACTACAGTAGCAACAATGGAAGTAACTTCAGGCTCAGGAACAACTGGAACAGTTCCACCAACAGTATTAGAAGTAGAGGTGGAAGCACTGGCGTTTGCTGCAGCTGCTGCTGCTGCTGCTGCTGCAGCTGCAGCAACAACAGCTGCTGCTGCTTCTGCAGCAGCCATGGTGCTCATTGTAGTTGGAATTTCTGTTGTAGGAACTGGGGCTGTTGATGCTGTGGTGCACTCTTCTTGCTTACTATATATTTAAAAAAGAAAAAAGTAGCCATTCATTATTTAATTATGAAGTCAAATAAAACAAACTTTTAATTAATACAAAATCAAATGAATAATGGAACTTGAAAGGATTTGGTAAAATCAGTACCACCAAAGTATTAAGCCACTCAAAAAGATAAAATCAATGAATGAGTGCATACTGCCTTGATTTAATTCAACAACTATCTGTGATAATGGCTGGAAGCAGCCTCATGCAAAAGTCTGCTTTCTAAAAGTCTAGTAACTATCAGATTGTATTATAACACAAAATTTGACTTGCATCATAACTTTCTGTAAGAAGTTTAAATTTTATCAATTTTACTAACTAAAAGGTAAACCCAAAGAAAAAAGAAATTGATGTGATACTTCATTCATTTTCAAATTAATGCAAATAAGTTTGGGCTTTTTCTTTAAATATTCTTAATTCATAACAGATGTAGTCAAATTCAAATAATCACTAACTAGTAAAAGTATTGTTCATTTGAACATCTTAAATATCTGTCCCCGCCTCAAATCTCCCACCAACATCACCAACAGGCCTAACGTGTTAAATATTATTTGCATTATAAAGGAACTGGAGAGAGATTGATAAATATAGGGCATACCAAATTTGTAACTTTGTAAATTCATACTGACATCCAAAATTGCTTACCTGCTTTCCTCAGCTTTGATCATAGCTATTAAAGAGAAAAAAGAAGTTACCTACTATGTAGTTTTAAATATATAACCACTGAAAACAAATTTAAAAGGAGATAATGAAAACATATCACAATAAGATTTAATATATCATCCTTAAATAAAAAAAAAAAATCACCACTTTCACAAAGCAAGTTTTTGCTCCAAAGGTCCAGGGCAACAATGAAAAGAATGAATAGACAATATATAGCAATTTTTAGGAAAGTTTCTCCCCATACTCTTATTTCCCAAAAGGCTGTTTTCTATTACAAAAGCTCTCAAAAAACTACTGTGCAGTTCTGAAATAAAACAAAGCAGTACTTTCCTTAGTGATAAAACTGATTTTTTTTTTAGGTACTAAATTCAAATGGAATCAAATTCACATTATGAAATTCCAGCATATATATACTAGCATTGACAATTATGTACACCAACTATTTTCAGTAGGGTTATATCAGAAATGAGCTTGATATTTCTTATATAAACTTTAAATCTACCTATCTATAATATTATAGTCAATGCTAGTTTAGAAACACAATTGATCGTTAAAGATTTGCAATTAGTATTTCAGTTACTTAAAGCTTTCTTTAGGGGTACAAAACCTCATTTGTTCATCATATGCTTTATGTAAAATGATAAAACGTAACATTTCTTTATGAAAATATTTGAAAACACCACATGAAAAGGATCTCTGAAAACCTGGTTATGATGGCTAAGAAAACATACTAAAAGAAGTTATCACTAACCTATTTTCACATAATTAAGTTAATGAGACACTGGGGAAGGTAAACAAACTTAAGATCACAATGCCTTTAAGAAAACTTTAATTCTTTCCTGTCAAACATTCCACATTGCAGATAACTTTATTAGTACTATACTATTCTTCTACAATCATGTTTCTAATCTTAAATATTTTTGACATCAGAATTTGATTAATGAGAGTAAGAATTTTCTCACTTATCTCAGCTATTTTAAGTCTTGCGTTTTATAATAATAGGTAGAAAGTACTTCTAGATTTTCAGAGGTATCCTGAATAGTTGGAGATATCAAAAAGAATTCCCTCTGTACACATTTTGTTTCTAATTCTTCTATTACAAACATATCTAGACTGTTTTGCAATGCTGCATGTAAATAAAATCAGCACTATAACTACACCATCAAATAAAATATTAACTAAATTTAAACAGAAAAGGATCAAGGTTTTCTTTGCTATCTGCAAAATGGGTTAAGTCACATTCCATGTATGTATCAACACTCATTGTGTTTAGAAATAATGTTCAATTTTCAGTAGTAAATGATTAAAAAAAGGTACAAATTTAAATACTAGAAGCTCATTTATAATATAACCCTGAAATGAAAGGAATTCTTCAAATTAGAGATTTCTCACTGCAGATTTATCCAATCATGGTTAGTGAATATTAGTGACATACTCTAAAAATGTTAAATGACAGAAAATGAATTATCAAAGCAGCTCACCATGCAGGTTTGATTTTGTAATAAGACTTCCAGCAACAATGGTATTCTGGTATCCTAGTTTCAGTGGAATCAAATCAAATAAAAATCTATTTAAAATCTATAGAACTGAGATCTAGAGCAACAAGAAAATAAGAGCCCATAAAACTGTTACATTGTATAACATAGTCTAAAATAATTTAATTAAAAAGAAACAAGACCTTTTAGGAACAATCCCATGTGTGAAGAACTTTTACTGTGAATGACTTATATTTAAAAATTAGCATTAAATATTTTTTCCTGTTTTACCTTCAAGATCCTCAAGTTCTTTAGGCTTGGCCCAGCGTGATTCTTTTGTTTGAGAATTATAATAGTAAGGCTTTCCAGAGTCAGATTTGTACTCCTTCCAAGGGCATTTAGATAAAAGTTGCTAAAGGGACATAAAACCTTTAGTTAATAGGAATGCTCATCATATTCATCATTCAAAACAGCGTTTCACTAGACAATACCAACTTACACAATGTCAAAGCTGTGACATGATGGTAATATAAGTTATAGGACACCTACACAAAGTGACGCTACATGAACTGAATGTTATTTAACCTTCACAATAATACTGTCAGTACTTACTAATAAGCATTCCTACTTTACTTATACAAAGTAAGGTGTCTGAGGCAATATATCTATTAAGGAACAGTGGGAAGATTCAAATCCAGGTCTATTTGAATTTCAAATCCTGTCTGTTCTCTTGTCATTTGTTTCCCATTTTAGATAAAAATTATAAGTAAACAAACTTCTCATAATACTAACACAAGTTGGAAAAACCAATGTGGGGATAAAGTAAAATCTGGTTACTTCAGTTACTCTTAGGACTCTACAGCTTTTAATTAAACCACATGCTTCCCAGTGTATTCCTTCAACCTTCTGTCTATATTTGGAATGGTGAATATATCGAAATTTAGAAATTTCTTTTTTGGGGAGGATGGGGAATGGACTGACTGTTTCCACAAAAACACAACTTTTTACCTAAGAGAAATAATATAATTTAATTTCATCTCCATTTCTCCACCTCCTTGGAACTTAAGAGGAATTTAGCAGAAATCATTTGTAAAAACATTTACATTTGGCACTATAGGTACTTTCAAAATAGAATTTAAAAAAATGGCAAGCAGACCCTTGTTTTCTTCCAATTTACTTTTTAAATGAGTCACCTTTCTTAAATTAATGCTTCCCAACAAGAGTTTCTAATCAGGGACAAAGCCCTTAACTAAGTAAAATTAAAATTTATTTTTTGTTGCTGATTGGTGCAACTGTAACATTGTCTTCTTTCTCTGAATGTTTTCACAGCAATCTTTCTTGTCAAATATTCACAAAACCTAAAAAAATATGATCCAGCTTACTTAACAATCCACAACTTTTACCTCAGCTGGTGTTTTAAGATCATCTGGTTTCTCCCAAGTTGACTGTTTTGTTTCGGTATTGTAATAGTAAGTTCTTCCATCAGGTGATTTATGTTCAGTCCACATAGATTTCTGAAGAAATAACAAGATTTAAATCACTTAACTGTGCCACTCACAATAAGTATGTATCAATTACAAAGCCATATGAAGACATCAGAAGCATAAAGTGGTCACACTTTTTAGACAATTCAGAATAATCAATACAAATGGAAAAAATGTCACTAAAAAACAGTATTTTAAAAGTACTTCAAAAGCAGCATGAATCAATTCAGGTTCTAGAATCTCTCCATGAAACCTCAGAATTAAAATGATAGGACTACTCTTCATAGATAGTAACGTTGTAACTCATACACACAAGCTTTCAGCAATACAATTCTATGCTGTGGGGATAACAGACTGAACCACCAGATGATAGATAATGCAGTATAGGTGAATTAATCATGAGTTCAACAAGTCTAATTCCAAGATTATGACTTTGGGATAAAAATCAGAATTTTACTCAACAAGGAGAAATTTTACAGGCATAAAGTGTGAATCAAAATGCCTCAACACAATAAAGGGGAGATAAAATTTTATGTTAAACTAGAAAAAAAATTAATTGAACAAAAAAATAAAAACAAAGCTTCAGGTATCAGTAGACATGATGCCTCAAAAAGAAATTAAGAGCATCACAGAGACACACACCCACACATAATCATAGTAATAAAAGGGATAGAAAAAAGCTTGCAAGGAGATGGACTGTTCATGGTCCTGTTCTCATAGTGGTGAATTTCAAGATGTACACTTATACACTCAAGTCATCCAGTTGTACATTATTAAATATGTATGGCTTTTCAAATGTGCATCAAACCTGACATAGTGGGTTCAAAAAGTTTTAAAGATGTTATGAATGAGTGATTTACTAGAGAGACCAAACCTGCTGGGTCTAGCTCTGGGTATCATATTTTCAAGATGATGTCAGATAATTGCCCTTAAAGATGATTGGAATGCATGTGTGTGAGACTCAGATGGACACTTTGAATGGGCCAAGCCCTGTTAATCTAAACGCTACCCCAAAAGAAACAACTATCATGATTTCTAACTTTGCAATAAAGTACTTACTTTACCAAAATAAAATGCCTAGTTACCTGTAAAAAATATAAAAGCACTGGCAAGCCTCCCTGGTGGCCTTGGGGTTGAGTCTCTGAGTAATAACCACCATGGCCTGGGTTTGATCTCGATCCAGGGAGCCAATCCACAGCAGACCTATCGTGTCTTTCCTGCTATCTGCCCCCTGCCTTCATAATGTATTTTAGTGAAATCTGCCTGTTCTGCTCCCTATTCTGTCGCTAGTGACTCCTCTCCTTCCACACCTCTGGTCTACACCTCAGTTAATTCTACACATGTATGTACACACACACACACACACACACACACACACACACACACAGCCTAAGTTTTTAAAGGAGAAACATATACCACTTAAAATAGGTAACAAGAAAAAGATGCCAGCTTAATATTGCTATTGTTCACTACTGTATTAGAGCTTCTGCTTAACAATAAAGTAGAAACAGGAATGAAAATTAGAAGAGGAGAAGTCTCAACTGTCATTTGAGAATAGATAATATACATAGAAAACCCACTAAACAACAAGAGTTTAGCAAGCCGGTTGGATAAATAAAAATAATCATTGCATAGAAAAACTCAAATAGCATTGAATTTTATACAATTATCTATAAACTGACAAAATGAGGAATATACAACTCCTTACTGATAAGCTCCAAATCACTGTAGAATAGACACAAAAGAAGATTGACTACCATGATCACTGATGTGATGATTTAATATTACAAATGTCTGACGATCCATAAATTCATTGGGACTTTAATATACCAAAACTTTTTTTTGGGAGGGGGATGTCAACTTAATAAATGGATTAAAAAATTTATATAAAAGGTTTGCAGGAATATCCAGAAAAGCCAAAAAAAATTTAAGTCTAAAAAAGGGGGAAAGGAACATATAAATTACAGAATAAGAAAGACATCACAATTAAAACAATTTACAGATAAAATCTCATATGCTTTCCCAATTCATGTAACTCATACAGGACACATGTATCTAAAGAAAGGATAAAACAATAATAAACTTTTAAATATACATTATTTTTGGATAGGAATGTTGAATAGGAAAGTACAGAATTCTACAAAAGTTTAAATAAATGAAATATAATCCCAGATAATTTTAACTTCTGATTGTATCGGGGTTTGTATTTTACACATTTTTTTCCTGGGGTAGATAGGGAAATTTGTATGATTACCTGAAAATAACAAGGGAAATGAGAAGAGTACTCACTAAGACTCACATTTTTAGAAATTACTCTGATTAGAAAAAGATAATTGGATTAGAAATGGGAAGAGTCAGAAAGAGATGACAAGATATGTGAGAGTCAAGGTATGTGAGAGTTTCACATATAATAACAATAACAAAAGATTTCTATTCAGAAATAAAATATGTCTTAACAGACAATTGACACAACTAAAATATAAACTATGGTGGCTCATGTGGAAAACTTTACTTTTTCATAATTTTACATTTTCCGTTCTCAGAAAGCCCTTATTACTCAAATAAGCAGGCAAAATATTAAGCTATTACTTGTAAAAAACAAACCCCCCAGGCATTTACAGTGGAAAAAATATTGCACAAATGGGCATTTTATAACCACTTGATTTTTTAAAGCAAAAGGCAAAAAAAAATCTTAAAATATTTAAAGCCAGCTCTCAATCAAATCTTGTCCCCTAAATTTAATATATTAAAATATTTGCAACTGGTATATGCAACTCCTCAACCTAAGATGGTGTAAGAGTAGCTAGCTATCTCTTATGACTGATGCTGTCAGTTAAAATGAAATTACTGGTCATCAAGGTGTACTTTAAAAACAAAATAGATAACCAACTTTGACTGGGACTATTCCCACCCCCATAAATATAAAGTGGTCACATTTAGGCTCAACATTAAACCCTAAGCTACCATAAAAGATGCAATAGGATACCACATGTAGAAGTAATTGCAAAAGAGACTAGAAGAACTTAAAACCAAATATTGAAGGAAAAAAATACACAGTATCAATCTCTCCTTTTCTAAGGAAAATCAAGCGATTTTTAATAACCTATTTGGCATCACAATTTTAGAGGCTTTAAAAAGGTATTTGAAAGTATTATGTATTAGGAAAAGTCTGCATAAGATTTACAGTAATGTAGGGTACATAAATTTTTGTAAAAGAATACATTCAATAAAAAGTTAACTGAAAATTAGGTTAATTTTCGGTTTCTCTCCTAAATATAATGTGTATTCAAATCCTTTAAAAAAAATGGCATCTACTTCCATTTTTCTTACAAAGTCCCATCCAAATTGTATTTTAAAATCTTTCAAATAATTTTTCAACTTTGGAATAGAGAAAAAGAAAATGATTCTACCTAGTGATAAATCTTCAGAAATAAGAAACACTGTAGTAGACTAAGGAAGTGTAATGAAATAAATTATTCCAAAAGTACTTACTGCACCAGATGTTGTACCTAAAAAAGTAAAAAAAAAAAGGAACAATGTTTACAATGTGATAACCATGCTCCTTAAAAATATATATTCACATTATTTCTTCTTCTTCATTCTGTCACACTAAATACCTTAAGACTGTCCCATATGTCTTAATGTGTTTGTTCTCTTTCCCATAAACATCAATATGCAAAAGGCATATTCAGCACTTAGAGCTTTTAATCTGCAAAATTATTTAGAGATGGTTTGAGATGATTTTTACCTGTTTTTTGTTTATTTGGCCTAATTTCTTCCTTTGTTAAACAACTCAAGTATAGTATCAGGGACTGATGCTTTAGGTTTTTGACAATTTCGACTGCTAGATTACGTATGTGTGCTATATATAATACACTATCAATTTGCCACCATCTATTTCTGTTAAAGTTATAATTAAAATATACATTGATTCAATGAAGTTTAAAGTTTAGATCCTCTTATGCAGTAGCAACATTTCAAGAAATTTATGTGGCTAGTAGCTACTGTACAGTACAAATCACAGAACATTTTTATCAATGCAGAAGATTCTGTTAGATAGTACTGTCTTAAACTACTAACAAAATGTCTTAAGACATAAGGAGATATGCAAATTAGTTCCACATTTAGTGAATAATCTCTAATTTTAGAAAACCAGTATTTAAAATTACATGTTTAAAAAAAGGACTATGTAAAAAGGAAACAGTATGTATAAATCCAAGAACAATCAAAAGAAGGTCAATGATAGAGGCAAAATCATGCATTAAGGTAATTTTCCAGGAAAATTTAGAGTAAAATTGACTAGCAATAGGCTTATCTAAGTAAGGTAAAATATTATGCTAGGTATTTCAAAATATTGCTTTAGCTTAAGTAATTCTAAAACATCTTTTGGTTGACTATGCCATTAGTAATGGTGAAGACAGAAAAAAATTATAGTCTAACCATGGGATAAAATTAAGCAACTGGAATATTAAATTTGTGAGACATTATTTATTCTTAAGTAACTGAGGCACTATTATATACCAGCCACAATAAAACCAAACATCTACTGGCAACTAAGCAAATAAAATGTAATTATCACAAGCCTTACAAACTTCAAAGTTACTAGCAACTGTGCAGTAACAGAAAAATGAGTGAATTAGTTTAGAAGGTCAATGAACGTACATGTTCTATGCCTCAAACCTGCTACTTCATTCCACAATGTTTGCTGAGAAAATATGGCTTCAACCTGTTTTTTGTTAAAATATTCAAAGGACCTAATGTGTTGACAAGAACAGCTGTAAACAATGACTATTAAGATCCTACAAGTTTTCAAGATAAATTCAATCTTTACATAAAAAAGATCAGCTGAATCTTTATGTAAAGCCAGCAGACTAAGGTTAGCAAATAGCTATAAACTTTAAAAAACTGTGTAGGCCAAAGTAGATTTGTAAACCACATTTTTTCCATACATGCTGATTTAAAACTATAATAGTTTTTCAGTACCATACAAATAGACACCCTACTAAATGGGAGAAAATATCTGCATATCAAACATCTGACAAAGGACTCAAACAACTCAACAAGAAAATAAAATTTAGGCAAAAGAGCACTTCTGCAAAGATGACATGTAGATGGCCAACAGGCAAATGATAAAAACAGCTCATCATCTTTGATCACTAGTGAAAAACAAATCAAATCCACAATGAGATACCATCTCACACTGTGAGAGTAACTTGTATCAGAAAAACGAGGAACACATATTGTTGGATATGGAGAAAAAAGAACGCTTGTGCACTGTTGGGGGAAATGTAGACTGGTCCAGGGCCAATAGAAAGAAGTATGGAGTTTTTCAAAATATTAAAAATAGATCCACCATATTATCCAACAACTCTACTCCTAGGTATTTATTCCTGAAGAATGCAAAAACAATCATTTGGAAGGATATATGCAGTCCAATGTTCACTGTAGCCCTATTTACAATAGCCAAGTTAGGGAAATAACCTAAATGCCCAATGACAGATGAGCGGATTTAAAAAATATGGTATATATGTATAATGGAATACTAAGGTGTATTAGAAAAGATGAAGTCTTGCCATGAGAAACGGAAAGGATTATGCTAAGTCAGAAGGAAATTTCAGATGATTTCAAACATGTGGAATATAGAAAAACAAAACATATGAACAGACAAAACAAAACTACCTCAGAAATTTGGCTGTAGAACTGAGGTTACCGAAGGTGGCAGGGAGCCCAAAACAGGAGAAGCAACTTTACATCAAAACTCTGAAAAAAATCCTGCCCTGAATTTCACGCGAAATGGAGGATTATGGTTGCTTTAGTGGTTAAGAGGATAGAATGTTTCAAAAGAAATGCAAACCTAAACCTTTAAATCATATAAGCAGTATTGTAAATCAATGTTGCCTCAAAAAAAAAAAAAACTACAATAAATAAATCAAGGAAAACTTAGTAAAAGTACATAAAATAAATATATGGAAATTTCTTAAGGATCCAATTAGCAATTAAAAAAAAAAACAACCAGGATTGATTAGAAAGTCTAACAGACATAACCTAGCCAATATGCTTCAAATGAAGCCAAATATTAATCACTATAAGTTTTATACATACCTGCTGCTACATCCATATTATTTACTCCTGGCTGTTAAAAAAAAAAAAAGTCACCTTAAATAATCACCTTATTTAAACTTTATCTTAAGTTCTTAAGAAAGCACAATGAAGTCCCTACTATAATTTTCAAGTCAATGACTCAAAGATTCCTACTAAGTTTTAGTGGTCTCAGATCCCTGGAGTTTCCTATACATTGTAAAAAACAGCAGTACCCTGAGCTACTAAAGCACTTTTATCTATGTTGCCTATATATACATATTAATACACACACACTCATCAGTTATACATAAAAACCTTTTTTACACATAACTCTGAAATACAAAAAGTGAAAACCAGAGTTTTTCAACTTTGCACCAAAACTCTGAAAAAAAATCCTCCCCTAAATTTGACACAAGCACTTTCTTTATATGCTTAAAAGCAAAGATTTATAAAGTTTTGTTACAGAAATATTATATTACATAATATTATATTACAGAAATTCCATGAGGGATTTGTATATAATAAATGTTATGTACAAGTTATTAACTTCTAATATTGAAACAATTTTCAGGGTGTCTCCCTCGTGGTACAGGGATTAAAGTCAAGTGTTACCTGCTACCACCAGCCAGTATGGCATAAGTCTGATCCATGGCCAGGGAGCTAATCCATATGGCACAGCAGACCTCTCCTGTGTCCCCAGCTGCTTCCCTAGCAGCGTATTTGAATAGATCTGCCTGTTCTGCTCCCCACTGTCTCTAGTGAATCTTCCCATCCCCTGCCCCCTACACCTCTGGCCTACATCCTAGACAAGCATAAATAAAAAGTAAATCTTGAAAAAACAGCCAATTTTCAAACAAATTTGGTCCTAAGGGTTTTGGATAAGACACTGCAAACTTATCACACCAATGGAATGTCACATCTACCAGGATTTCATGAAATTAACAAGTTAAGCTTAGAATATCATGCTTCTTCACATACTGCTATACTACCCAGTAAAAATCAATAAGGTATTGGGCCCTCCCTGGTGGCGCAGCGGGTTAAAGCACAGCACTGAGAATCTAAAGCCGCTTCCGAATTCGATTCCCGCCTGCCCCGGAGGTGACCACATGGTGTGGCAGACCTCTCCTGACCCGCCCGCTGCTCCCCTCAGCAGTGTACTTCGTCGATCTGCCTGTTCTGTTCCCCACTCTGTCTCTGGTGAAGCCTCTCACTGCCCCTGAGCCTCTGGCCTGTACCCCAGTTCTGTACGCACAAATAAATAAATCTTTAAAAAAAATCAATAAGGTATTTTAAATAAACTGATACAGGTTAAGTCTCATTAAATGTGGAACTGAAAAGAAATCCTTTGCATTCTAAAACTAGCTCTTTACATCTGAACATTTATATAAAGATGAAATGTTACTTCATTAAAATACGTAGCAACCAGTATTAAATATTATAACAAGTTTTAATTAGCACCATGTCTTCTCTCTTTCTCTTTTCTTTTAAGATTTATTTATTTATTCATACAGAGCTGGGGTACAGGCCAGAGATGCGGAGGGTGAGGGGATTCACCAGGGGCAGAGCAGTGAGCAGAACAGACAGATCGACGAAGTACATTGCTGAGGGGAGCAGCGGGTGGGTCAGGAGAGGTCTGCCACACCACATGGATCTCCTTCCAGGGAAGGCAGGATAGAACTCATGCGGAAGTGGCTTAAGTTTCTCAGTGCTGTGCTTTAACCCGCTGCGCCACCAGGGAGGGCCCTGCGCCATGTCTTCTCTTTAAGATTAGAACACTACTAGGCCAATCCAATGCTTTTGAATGATGAAATATTCTGGCTTCTGAATGATGAAATATGCTGTCCAGTACACTAATTTTGTTTAATGTAGAATTAATAAACAAGAATGCACATATAATATACAGGTGGAAAAAATGTAAATGCCGATCAGTCAAGAAACTAAAAAGTTTACTACAGTTCCTATGTTATAGTATACCAGAGACACTGAAAGCTAACAATTTCCTACAGACATGTTATTTTACATGTGCAAGTAATCAAAACATCACAGAAACAGTCTTAGAGAATTACCGGTAAAGCGGGCTGCATGGAAGCTTGGGACATATGGGACATCATCATTCCAGGCATTACAGAAGACATCATTCCAGGCATCTAGAACAAAAGTAAAAAAAAGTTACTCTGTAAGACCAAAGCAGTTAACATGACTGCAAGAATCTTATCTTGTCATTAAAGCTAACAAATAAAATATTATAATCCACTTAATTAATACTACAGTATATGGATAGTATGCTTAGTAAGTGCTTGTTGAATGAATGAATTTTTATCAATTACCTATCGTAATACAGATATTAGAATTCATATGTACAGTCAAATTTATTTAATAAATGTATTTAAAAGTTCATCATGTTACTTCTAAATTTAAGAATTTAAATTCAACACTCATATTTTTCTTCTTCCTTTGGAATAAGTCCCCCCCGCACCCCACTATTAGTTACCCTTGATTTTGAATAACTGTGCAAGATAAACTTTACAGAAATCTGGCGTTTTAAAAAACTCTAGGTGAAAGAAGTTATAATTCTAGATCAAAGGTGTCGCAAATTCAAAGTGATTTTACACAAATACATAATCCTTTTGAATACAAATTATCAATCCCCTCTTCTTATAAAGAAATATTTAATGAAACATATTCATGAATAGCTGAAAAAAAATTGAGGGTTTAACCTAGTTTATCAATGATCTCCACCAAAATCTATGTATACTGGCTACAAAGAATGAATGAAAATCACAAAGTTAGCATCCACTGCCATAGGATTTAATCCAACGCTCCTCTTTGTTAGTATAGACAAGTAATAATAGTTTTGATTTTAATATGTACAAATCTAAAGAAACCATAGAGTTAGACAAATTATCTACAATAATCATAGGTAATGGAACAATGTATCCACTTATTCAACAATTTCAAATTAAATGAGCAATCTGAGAAACAAGTATAAGCAGCAGCATACTGGTCAACAATATTTAGTCTACTGAAAATAGTTAAGAATACCCATACACTGAAACATAATACTTGTGAAATTTAACTCATGAGGCTAAAAACAGGTTAAAATAACTATTAAAGTAGTATGGTGTTAAATGAATTAAGCGAAAGAAGTTTTTTGTTCTCAATCACTTGATATTATTTAAACATTGCTCAACAAGAACTTGACAGAAATCATGTAACTAAAAAACTTGGAATACAAGGTCAACTTTTTTTTTCAGAGGTTCAGCATTTGAAAACAGATGCACCGAATAAGAGAATTGGAGAAAATAATCAATATATAAATGGGGGGCGGGGAGGTGATGGTGGAGACAGAGCAAACAAATGAGAACTAGCCTTGTTCCTTCTTCTCCCCATTCCCGACAGTTACACCCTCAGAATCATATTTGGTTTTGGCTAATGGCAAAGCATGGTTGAATTCTTTTTTATATACTAAGTTATTGATTATAGGGGGATGTATATAAGGTAATAAAGAGAACCTAAAAAGAAAACCAAAGGCTTTTAACATATACAAATATTAGAACTGTAAGAAAATTTGAGAAACTTAATTTGAAAAATTAAAAGAAAAATAATTCAAACAATTTTTCACAAAAATTAAAGACATTAAGGAGTAAAATTTTCCACCTTCCTTGGTATAAAACAGCAACTAGTTAAATTTGTTCAACCCAACCAATATTAACAGATTCTTAAATGAGGTACAACTATATATTCTGAAAGTAAATACTATATATAGACCATGAACCCCAAAGTGATATTAAGCTGAATTGAAAGACAAATATATACAAAATACTGTTTCTTATGAAAGTTATTTTTAAGAATCTGACAAATTAAAAACTTTAAGTTCGTTTCCCAATGTCTGATGAATCTATTTTGTGGAAATGTTGTGATTGCTGTTTTTCATTAATTTGGCAATATATATAAGATGAATGAAGGCTTCAACTGGCTGGACTAAAGTTAAAATCTTTCCACCATTGCAATGACTTAGGACAGTCACTTGATAGCATCATCAATTTGAGACTATTAAAAATGTCTAAGTTAATCCCATTTTGAAGACTGTGGTACTAGATAAAAACAAGCATGTGTCAGGCTCTCCCCGGTGGCACAATGGATAAAAGCACCGCATGATGAAGCTCTCCGAAGCCACTGCAGCACAAGTTCAATCCCTGCTAGGAAGCTGACCCACACAGCGCAGCAGACTTCTCTTGACCCACACTCGCTGCTCCCCTCAGCAGTGTACTTTGTAGATCTGCCTGTTCTGTTCCCCACTCTGTCTCTGGTGAATCTTCTCAACCACCTGTACCCCATAAATAAATAAATCTTAAAAAAAACAAAACAAGCATGTGTCAATTTTAACTAGATATTTAAGAAATGAAAACAAAAGGCACAGTAATAAAAGCAGTCTTATCAATGCTATACCAAATAAGTTGAACAAATATGCACTGACTAGAACACTTTTCTAATAATACAAAAACAAAAGTGAAGATCCTCAATGGCACTTTAAAATTCTTTCTTTAATAATTATTTCCTAAAGTTGTTCCTGGCCAGAAAGAAATCACATAACCTTTTTTTCTGTCTAAATATTAAATCTTAAAAATTGATACAAGATTAATTTAAGGTTAATTTCAAAAATCTATTTTTGCTGCAAGCCTTTAATTACAAACTGATAACCTAAAATGTCTGATTCATGCCTTTTTACTTGTTTCGTTAGAATATGCTAAATTCAAATTTTAAAAAGCATATTCCGCAGTTTATTAGTATAGTATTTAAAATGACTACTTTTTAAAATTTTATTTACTTATGCATACAGAACTGGGCTACAGCCAGAGGTGTAGGGGTGGTGAGAGGATATACCAGAGACAGAGTGGGGAGCACAACAGGCAGATCACGAAGTACACTGCTGAGGGGAGCAGTGGGCAAGACAGAAGTCTGCCACGCCACATGGGTCACCTCTGGGGCGGGGATCGACTGGCACTGAAATGGCCAAAGCTACCTTGCAGTGCTGTGCGCTAACCCCTTGTGCCACCAGGGAGGACCCCTACAAGTGATTATTTTTTACACCACTAATTTATCTTACAAATTTGTAAGTGAATGTATGATTATTCTTTCACTAAATGCAAAAACTACATTTTTTTTTAAAGGAGATAATGATGTTTATTCAAAAGGACAGAGAAGGCCTCAATCAAAAACTACATTTTTGAAGTAACTAAACAGTCACTCAATTGGAAATAGGAACAAACAACAACTTCGTAAATATCCTTAGTAACTTAAAGTGGTTGCCTTTCAGGCAATGATTTGATCTTACTTCCTCTGCATTTATAGTTATATATAAACTCATCATATTCTGGTATTAGAAATATATAATCAAAATATGGTAATATCTGTACAAATGGTTGTACACATGGAATAGAACTTTATCATTTAATAAGTCAATTGCCATTATTCAAAATTAACTTGTTAAATTCTCAACCTGGTCAGTTTAGAATTGCTCAAGTTCACACTTACCTATACATTCTAAGACAGTAAGCTTATGACAATCTCATACTATACAAAGCAGCCTAGTACAGCTTATTAAGTACACTCCAGTCAAAACTATCAGAATTGTTACCCCAACTTGACCACTGACCAGCTGCATAACTTTGGGCTAACTGACTTAACTGGGTCTCTTTCTCTCCCCCCCCCCCCCATAACATGGAATAAAATGTATCCACCTGCTAGGATTGTTGTAGGGATAAAACGGGACAATACACACTCAAGGCACTCACACCTCAGTATAGTTGTTTTATTACCATTACTTTCCTTCATATAATCAAAGTATCTTCTTACTACGTCCCTTCTCATCTATTCCCTGTCCAGATGTAAGAAGGCATGGCAGTCCTTTAAAGGCATTAAGTAAATGTTGTAGAACTATCATCGTCAGTAGGAATCAACGTATTTAAAAAAAGTCAGTCCCGATTAAGCACCATGTTCACTTCTGGCTCTACAATATTGCTATAGAACTTACTTAATTGAACATCTATCCAACTCTCTTATCACAATCAGGACCATGTTCAATAGGATTTATGAATTCTCAGAGTTTTATTCCTAACAGATTAGTTATCACTCCTACTACCTGGAACCTTAAAAAAAAAAGTGTAGAAATGGACAAGTAGTTAATTTAGTGATCCACTGCCCACTGTCTCTTACTCAAGAATTTCTTAAATGAAGATAGAGAAAATATAAAGAGAAAACTTCTGTGTATGGATGTGTAACAATCAACTTAGAATTGAATGAAATTAAATGTCATTTTTAAAAGGCTCTAAACATACTGAAGATGCTCAAACTGTACACAATTAAGTCATGTAAGATTAAATACTTTAAAAAACTTATTCTATATTTATCGAACTCTTTTTTTGTCTCCAAGTCCCTGAATACAAAGACCAGGTAAAGCTTACTCCCAACTACTTTTCCCTCAAATCCTTAATAATAATTTAGCTACATATAATACTAAATCTAGTATTTATCTGCTTACATGGGGCATTTATTTTTAATCTTCTCAATTGTGGGCACCTTTAGAATAGAGAGTACGTCTCATTGCATGTTTTACTGGTACAGAGAGAGAATAAGTTACATGGATATAGCATAAACTCTAACACTGCAGTAGATAACTTTCTATCCAGTCTTTATTTCTGTATGAGAAAATGGTAATTTTCTATTACACGTAACACATATAATCATAAACACCCAATGATTATCTTGATATTACTGAAAAATCATCTTTTAGAGAACAACTACATATATACCAAAGGCCAAAGAATCTATGCCAAATCAATGTTTTCAAGCACAATCTTGATGCTTGTTAATTTAAAAAAACTTTAGCCCAAAAAGAGACTAGTGATTAAAATTAACATGTAGTATGAAATGCTCTGGAAAATGTTTTAAAAGTTAAATAAAAAAAATTTTGTGATGAATGCGATGAGAATTTGTTAAAAAAACAAAAACCAAAAAACTTAACTCCTAAGATAAATTATTTCAACAGTTAAGAGTCAACATTTGGGGGCCTTCCCTGGTGGCGCAGTGGGTTAAAGCATAACACTAAAAGGCTAAGGCCACTTCAGCATGAGTTCGATCCCACCTG